TACTGTTTTAATAAATGTCTATAATATCCTACATTTCTATAATAATCTATTATTTTTTTCCTACAAGCGATTTAGAATAATTTTTCAGGAAATTCCAATAACAGAAACTAAACAATTCTGAGGAGAAATTACTTTGGTCTTAGAAAGCTATAGGCAAGATATCCACAACTTTATAACATTAGTAGCAAACACTAATCTTACAAATTATGCACTGTCTGTAATGATGGAAACATAGTGATCTTTTCATAATCTGATTCTTTAGAATTGAGATCCTATCAAAAAATGAAGCTAAAATAATAGAAAATCAGCTTTCACATTATTTTGCTATTTTTGTATTCTTCTAAATCAAGACTGGATAAACAGATGGGTTGTCTTGTGTGGCTGGAAGAATGTTTCTTTTTCTTTCTTTTTTTTTTAGAATTTTGCAAATGTTTCTAATGTCAATTTGACAGAGTTAAGCTGCTAGTGCTATGGTAACATATTTCTATTGCCGAAACAAAAGTTCTACTGTCAATATTCTTGGGACATATTGCACTGGATTAGATAGAAGACACATGATAAAATGAGGCAATTTATGAAAGAAAACATGTGCTTTTAAAAATCAGTATTTAGAAAAACTGAAGATACTAATTCAGACTATAACAGAGCAATAGCAATCTTACTCATTTGTCAGAATTAACTATTCTCTTGTGTTTTTCATTTTGTTATTTTTTATTTTTTGGTTGGTCATGGGGCCTGAACTCTGGGTCTGGGCGCTGTCCCTTTCCTCTTCAAGGACAGTGCTCTAACACTCGAGCCACAGCGCCACTTCTGGCTTTTTCTGCATATGAGGTGCTGAGTAATAGAATCCAGGGCCTCATGCATGCAAGGTAAGCACTCTACCACTGAGCCACCTTCCCAGCCCTCATTTTATTTTATTTTTGTCGGTTGTGGGGTTTGAACTCTGGGCCTGGGCGCTGTCCCTCAGCTCTTCAGCTCAAGGAGAGTGCTCTATCACTTGCACCACTTCCGGTTTTCTGGTGGTTTATTGGAGATAGGAGTCTCACGGTCTCTCCTGCCCGGGCTGTCTTTGAACTGCAATCCTCAGATCTCAGCCTCCTGAGTAGCTAGGATTACAGGTGTGAGCCACTGGCGCCCAGCTTTGTTTTGTTATTTTTTGAGACAAGGTTTCCCTAAATTGCCCAGGTTTCAATTGCTAGGATTACAGGTATGTGCCATCTTGTTTGCTCCATTTACTTTGGAGGCAGCTATGTAATCTAGTAAACACTTTTTTCTTTTCTTTTCTTTTGAGCTCTGGGCTGGGTGATGTTTTGGGGTTCCTTCTAGGACTCTACTCTCAAGTGTGCAAGCCACTGCACCACTTCCGGCTTTTTCTGTGATTAATTGGAGACAAGAGTCTCACAGACTTTCCTGAACCATGATCCTCAGAACTTGGCCTCCTGAGTAGCTAGGAATACAGGCATGAGCCACCAGCACCTGAATTAAATGCATTAAACAAATTAGGAAATATTGACAGCATATGAGTTTAACTTTCAAGTCAAACATTTAGAAAAATAGACAAGTAACATTAGGTGCAAAAAAAAAAAAAAGGGAGGGGATAGTTAAGTACCAGTGGCTTGCACCTATAATCCTAGCTACTCAGGAGGCTGAGATCTGAGGATCATGGCTCAAAGCCAGCCCAGTCAGGAAAGTCCCTGTGAGACTATTATCTGCAATTAACCCCTCAAAAATCAGAAGTAGAATTGTGGCTCAAATGGTAGAGCACTAGCCTTGAGCAAAAGAGCTCAGGGACAGAGCCCAGGCCCTGAGTTCAAGTCCCTGACTAACATCAACAACAAAATTGTATGTACATGTATATATAAATGTATGTGTATATAAAATAATATACATACTGAAATGAACTCCAAAGATATGGGGAAAGGACTTTTGTCATAATTTGACTCTATATTCTTTACCTTATATGTAGTGCATTCAGGTGCACATCTGCAGGAGGGCACAGAATCAGAGGAAAATGGAGATGAAGTACAGCAGTAAAGCACATTGGCTGCACTAGTCATTCATGAAAGTGAACTATGCAATTTGTGGGTGGAGAAAGGAAGGAGGGAATGGGAGAGAATGAAGGAACAGATGACACTATGCAAAAGGAAATGTACTTATGTAAAGCTAATCCTGCTGTATATCAACTCTAAAAAAAAACAATAATTTTTAAATAATTTTAAATAATAATTTTTAAAGTGCCTTAAGAATGAAACCCTGAACAAAGCAAATTAAAGAAATTGAAACTTGTTTTAGAAAACCAACTTGCCGCTGGGAAGGTGGCTCAGTGGTACAGCGCTTGCCTTGCATGCATGAGGCCCTGGGTTCGATTCCTCAGCACCACATAAGCAAAAAGAAAAAAGCCAAAACTGGCGCTGAGGCTCAAATGGTAGAGTGCTAGCCTTGAGCTGAAGAGCTGAGGGACAGCGCCCAGGCCCAGAGTTCAGGCTCCATGACAGGACCCCCAAAAAAGAAAACCAACTTGCCTTTAAAAATTTACCTCTTCTTATTTTGAAGATAGTAGGATAGAATTTTAAAGTAGATGTTCAACCCTTTTCAACTATTATGATACAAAGTTAGAAGCCAGCAAGGGACAAATCTGTTCTAATTTGCAGACAAGATTCTACAAAGAGTAAGACAATCATTAGAACAAAGAATCAGCAGAATGTCTAATACAAGATCATTGTTTAAATCCTTCAGTGGAATTTCTTTTTTACATCATCCAGTTTAATACCAACTGAGGTAAGATATCACTCACAATCGTTAAAAAACAAAAAATCATTTTTTTGTTCCTAGGTACAAATAAAAACAAAGATATCAAGGTTCAGTACTGCAAGAGGGGGCAATTTTCCTTAGGCTCATTTAGAAATAAAAACCAATTTCAATTTAAAATCTTATCAGTCTTTTCCATAAAAAAATTGATCTTAAAATTTACATAAAAGGTCAAAGTGTCACCGGACAAACACAGTAGAGGAAATGTGGAACTGACACATGGCCAAACAATTGGTCCAATGGAACAAAAGACCCTAAAATGAAACTTATCTCTGACACAGATATGTTATATTTCAGATAGGCTATCTGACAAATAGTGGTTTGTTGATATAGAAAATGAATGTCAAGGATATGCATCAAAAAGAAAATTGCAAAACCTGCAGAAAAATCTGGCAGACCACTTTTAGGACTGTAGAGACACGAAAAGTTCTATGAAACATGTAAGACAACAAAGTACAAATAAAGTTAAAATACATGCTACAGAGAAGATATCTACAATGAAAATAACTAAGAAAGACTACTGAGTTTGTTTATTAAGCAACAAAAAGCAAATAACCTAGAGCAATGGACAAAGGTAAAAATAAGCAAAAGAGGGGTTGGGAATGTGGCTTAGTGATAGAATGCTTGCCTGTCATGCATGAAGTCCTGGGTTCAATTCCTCAGTACTACATAAACAAAAGGCCAGAGGTGGCTCAAGTGGTAGTGCTAGCCTTGAGCAAAAGAAGATTGGGACAGAACTCAGGTCCAGAGTTCAAGCCCCAGGAGTAGCAAAAAAAAAAAAAAAAAGGCAGAGCAGTCAACAGATGTATGTAAATATTCTCAATCTTATTATTAACAAGGGAAACACAAGTCACTGAAGAACTGATACACTATTTCAAAGCTGGGCAAAAAAATGCCTAAGAGCATCACAATGGGGAGAAGAGGGAGGAACATATTCTAGTGTGAATGTAAATGAAACCAACCACTTGACATCTGTTTCCTACATGCAGTAATTTCATGTTTTGATGACCAATCTACAAAAATTCTTATTCAGATAGAAGGATGATATGAATATAAAAAAGCTAGAGCCTAAGAACACAGTTCTTAGTGGCAGAGTGCTTACCTGAGAGTTTCAAGTTCAATTTCCAGTACTGCAATCAATCAATAAATGAATCCATCAAGTGTAAAAAGTGAATTACAGAATGAAATTTTCCCACTTGTTTAATTTTTTATCCTATATTGTTTAAGCTTGAAAAATACCAATTTTATAGCTAAATACTCCTAACAGTGTAAAACACTAAGAGAATGGTAAATATCATTTGATAATGATGAACAGAAGAAACCAACTTAGATTGCTTAAAAAAAAAAAAAACTTGAAAACTTGTTTGAAAATGAAGGGAGGCGGGCGCTGGTGGCTCACGCCTGTAATCCTAGCTACTCAGGAGGCTGAGATCTGAGGATCGCAGTTCAAAGCCAGCCCGGGCAGGAAAGACCGTGAGACTCCTATCTCCAATAAACCACCAGAAAACCAGAAGTGGCGCTGTAGCTCAAATGGTAGAGCGCTCGCCTTGAGCTGAGGGACAGCGCCCAGGCCCGGAGTTCAAGCCCCACGGCCGACAAAAAAAAAAAAAAAAAGAAAATGAAGAAGGGAGGCTAACGGCTAGAGGCATAGGTTCTAGAGAAGGGTTAAGATGAGCGAGATAAATATGTGACACAAACACCTCCGAAAAATTTCCTTGACTACACTGCTCTTCTAAGACTGAACCCAGCTGGTTATTTACTCAGCATGAACAAGTCACTCAATATTCCTAAGCTTTGAATGAGATTTTTAAGAACTTGAGACTCTCTTTCAAATAAATTCTTAATCCAACCATCAGTAAAATTTCCACAAAAAACAGTGCCTTGCTTAAAATCAGAGTTGATGCAGTGTTTCCCCCTACAAACCTCAACATTTGAACAATCGATAAACTTTGCTTAGTGCTAATAGAAATAAATTGCTTGGAAGTCCATAGCTTTGCTTTATGACTTACAAATCATCATTTAAAATATCTGTACAAACAAATGTATACTTAAAGTGTATTTGTCAATTATCTTCAGTTGAAAATTTTAATGTGTAAGTTAAAAGCTCAAAAGCAGTTAACATTACCCTTTACAGTAACATGCCTTCTTTTCAGTATGCCACATTCTGAAATTGATAAGGAGGTTTCCCTTACCTGATATGGACATGGAATGTGATATTCTCTGCAGCGTTCTTGTATCCAAGTTGTTTCCCAGATGCCACGGTAAGCTTGCTCATAAAAGTAGCATCCAATTACAACCAAGAGTGGCACGAGATAAAGAATGCTGAAAACACCAATCCGGATCATAAACTTCACTAATTTATCTTGGTTCTCCTTTTCTAAGGGAATCTCAATCCGCACCCTGTTTAGGGAAATAATGCCGGCTAAGAGGAGAGAAACCCCAACTACCACATACAGGCAGAGGGGAGCAAGAACAAAGTATCTTAATGCATCAACATCGTAGAGGCCAACAAAACACACGCCACTAATATTGTCACCTTCAATTTTATTCATCGCTAAAAGGATGATAGTCAGTGTTCCAGGAATGCCCCATGCACTGGCGTGAAACAGCAATGCTTTCTTCTCAATTGCTTCACTACCCCACTTTGGCACAGCTGCTAAAAACCATGTGATGGTAAGAATTACCCACCATACACTGCCAGCCATAGTGAAAAAATAGAGTACCATGAAAAGCATGGTACAGGCTTTATTATGAGATCCTTGTGTCACTGTGGAAGCCTTATACTGGGCAGGGATAGATGCATTGCAGGCTACTCGATCCTCAAGCAAAAACCCAATGAAGAAAATTAATGATACCATCATATAGCAGACGGCATAAAATATAATAGGCCTTTCAGGATAACGGAATCTTGTGACGTCAATCAAAAATGTTAAAAAAGTAAACAAGGTGGCAGAGAGGCAAATGATTGAAATCAATCCTATGAAGTAGCGTGCAAACGACAGTTCTTCTCTCCTGAAGTACATATTTGGACAAGGTGGTGAACAATCCCGCACGTGCAAAAAAGAATAACCAAGATCAGGGTCGATTTTCAACTCTCGGGGACACCAAAAACCATAGTCCCTCTGCACTGCTACTGGGGCTCCTTCAGTGGGATCTCCAACTAAATTCAGATCCACAAGTCGAGGATATGGCTCGTCACAATCTGGAAACCTAAAAAGACACAGATGAAAACCATTTTTACGTACAGGACAATCTACTGCTATCTCACACTTGGTACTCCCCAATTCAGCGCCTATGGCCTTGTCTAGTCCTACATCCTGGCAACTGGGTAAGTGGGAAGAAACAGTGATGTCTTCTATATAAGCTACCTAAACAGATGACAGAACAACAACAAAACAGTTTTTTTGATTGTTTTTTGTTTGTCATGGGGCGTGAACACTGGGCTTGGGTACTGTCCCTCAGCTCTTCAGCTCAAAGTGAGTGCTCTACCACTTGAGCCACAGTATCACTTCCAGTTTTCTAGTGGTTTATTGGAGATAAGAGTCTCACGGACTTTCCTGCCCTGCCCGAACAGGCTTTGAACTGTGATCCTCAGATTTCAGCCTCCTGAATAGCTAGGATTACAGGCGTGAGTCACCGGCACCCGGCAACAAAACAGTTTTAAACTTAATTTTGTTCTACCATTATAATCAGTAAGTACTCTTAATTCAAATGTACTCAAAAGCAGTCATCAATTACAAATAGCATATATAGGGTATTTATTTAAAGCACATGATTTAAGAATATGATTTCAAAATACAGCCAGGCGCCAGTGGTTCACATCTGTAATTCTAGCTGCTCAGGAGGCTGAGATCTGAGGATCGTGGTTCAAAGCCAGTGGGGTAGGAAAGTCCGTGAGACTCTTATCTCCAATTAACCACCAGAAAAAAAAGGAAGTGGCACTGTGGCTCAAGTAGTAGAGTGTTTGCCTTGAGCTGAAGAGCTCAGGGACAGCGCCCAGGCCCAGAGTTCAAGCCCCACAACCCCCCACTCCCCCACCCACACTTAAAAAAAAAAGTGTGTGTGTATGTGTGTATAGAGCTATAACAAAAATCTGAAACCTAGAGTTAAAAGTCTTTCCTAGGAAAAAGGGAGGGAGAATGAAGGGGGTGAATGAGAACAAATATGGTCCATACAGTTTCTTTGCATAAATGAAAATGAAACAGTGGCACCTGTTGAAAGTGCTTTAAGAAGGAGGAGTGAGAGGAAGAGAGTGACAGCGAAGGACAGGGATGACTAGGATACACGTATACGTGTGTGGAGACATCATAAAGGTAATGTGTGCTAATTAAAAAAAAATAAGAAGGGGCTGGGAAGGTGGCTCAGTGGTACAGCACTTGCCTGAGGCCCTGGGTTCAATTCCTCAGCACCACATATAGCAAAAAAAAAAAAAAAAGCCGGGAGTGGTGCTGTGGCTCAAGTGGTAGAGAGAGCTAGCCTTGAGCTGAAGAGCTGAGGGACATCGTCCAGGCCCAGAGTTCAGGCCCCACGACCGGACCCAAAAAAAAAAAAAAGAAAGAAATCTTTCCTAAATGCATGGTCCAAGGTGCTATGAATTACTATCTTTTAAATATCTTTACAAGTAGCTCTGTTTTTAGGTCATCTCTTTCCATTTCACATTTATTCTAAATTATTATTTTTTTGCAATGCTGGGAATCAAATTCACAGCATTGTACTCTTTACTACTAGGCTAGACTTTCAGTCCTTCCTCTGCTTATTTCATTGGCTACAACTCTTTAATATCACCTTGCGCTTCCATTCCTGATTTCTCCCTAATTTCTGTATTTATCTCTAATACAGTCATTTTCAAACTTTGATGTATATAAAATGTGGGGATATTTTAAAAGTGTAAATTTTTACATGCCTGTTAACCCAGCCCTTGAGAAGTAGTAGGTAGTAGGAGTGTGATTTGAGGCCAGTTTGAACTACCTATCAAGTTTCAGGTCAGCCTACATTACATAGTAAGACCCACAACAAATCATATTTCAGAAAGTTGATGTTAAAGCTTAGAATTGTGCATTTCAACAAGTTTTCCAAAGGAAATGATCCAAAGACTTGAGAAAGCCTCAGGACAAGGTTAACAAAGTTATGCTGCAGACATACTTGCATGACTAAGAATTCTCTTTTTTTTTTTTTTTTGTCGGTCGTGGGGCTTGAACTCTGGGCCTGGGCGCTGTCCCTCAGCTCTTCAGCTCAAGGCGAGCGCTCTACCACTTGAGCTACAGCACCGCTTCCGGTTTTCTGATGGTTTATTGGAGATAGGAGTCTCACAGTCTCTCTTGCCCGGGCTGGCTTTGAACTGCGATCCTCAGATCTCAGCCTCCTGAGTAGCTAGGATTACAGGCATGAGCCACCAGCGCCCGGCTAGAATTCTCAAGAATTCTATTCTCAAGAATTCCCTTCATGTTCACTTGTCTTGCCAATATCAAATTATAAGTCTTCCAACTTCCAGCAACCAGCCCTTTACTCTTACTGGCATCAGTTTCAAAGAAACTATAAATGATGTTAAGTTACCATATACATGAATAACCATAGTTGATAAATATCTTCAAACTTTTTGTTTGCTAATATAAACCATTTTCTTCACAGGACTTGAAAAAAAACTACAGAAGTTTATTGTATTTAATTATTATTGGAATCCTGGAATATGCCAGGGGGTGAAAAGACACATCCCTGTCTCCTCCCAATCCCCCCCCCAAAAAAACTCCAACACATCTATCTTTGAGTAGAGGAGCAGTCACAAACTTGTAAACATAATACTCACAAGGGAATTAAAGTCTATTATATACCCCTCCACTGCATTTTTTTTTATTTGGTCAGTTGTGGGGCCTGAACTCTGTGCCTGGGTGTTGTCCCTCAGTTCTTCAGCTCAACACTAGTACTCTGCCACTTGAGCCACAGCACCACTTCCGGCTTTTTCTGTTTATGTGGTGCTGAGGAATCGAACCCAGGGCCTCATGCATGTGAGGCAAGCACTCTACCATTGAGCCACCTTCCCTCCACTGCATTCTACTTTACCATAGCCATGAAGCACAGAGCCAGCTGGCCTTGAGGTGTAACCTCTGAAACTAGGAACAATTAAATCATCCCTTATACCTTGTTTTCTCAGGTATTTTTTATAGTGATTAATACTAACAGTGACATTATCTACCTGTTTGTTATCTTCCTCCCTTTATAACCATTACTAGGATCCTAGCTTCTTAAGAACAGAGACTCTATTTTGCTCACTGCATATTTCAGCATGTAAAAGTGTCTAACACCACAGCCATTCAACTAACATTTGTTGCACTAATGAACTTGAAATGAATATATTCATATACTTTAACCTAGACAATCAAAAAAAGAAATATGAGCAATGCAGAAGACAGATCTGAGCTGGGGAAAATGGGGGCAAGGGATAAGTTGGAACATAATAAAATTTAAAAACAAATACTTATAAAAAAGGCAGATATGAAAGTTGTTGGATAAAAGCAACAGAACAGCACTGACTGAACGCAGGGATTGAGGTCAAGGAAGAATAGAATACGACTGCCAAGGAATAAAGAAAAACAAAGGAATCCATTTCAGAGGTGTTGAAACTAATGTGCTGGCAACAAATTCAGGCCTGGATTTCCAATGGCTAATGACTATATAAGTTTGGAGTTTAAGATGGAGACAAGGCTACAGATTTGGGTTGAGAGTCATCAGTACATAAATAATAGTTAAAATCAGTGAGATGAGACTCTAGGGATCACAGAACTCTCAACTCTGGGAAGCATCATTACACAAGGGTCAGAGAATGGGAAGATCCAAGAAGGAAACCAAGAAAGACTGGCCAGAACTACAGCAGATCATAGAAGCACCTGTATGAGGGTTTTTACCCATAAGGACAGCAGGCTAGGATGTTAAGTGTAAAGTCAATAGTGTAGATTTTGCAACAGTGCTGAGAAACAAACAGAAATTTCTCTCACCAAGACAAGTAGTTACAAATAACAAAGGATCATTATTGTTTGATAATCATTAATATACAGCATAATTAATTTGAAGAAGTTGGTTAGATCAGTACATTTAAAATCTGAACACATTCAGTGAAAGGAATGAGTTGGGGCTGAGCATGTGGCTTAATGATAAGAGTGCTTGCCTATCATGCATGAAGCCCTGGGTTCAATTCCTCAGTACCACAGAAACAGAAGAAGCCAGAAGTGGCACTGTGGCTCAAGTAGTAGAGCACTAGCCTTGAGCAAAAGAAGCTCAGAGACAGTGCCCAGCCCCTGAGTTCAAGTCTCAGGACTGGAAAAAAAAAAAAAAAAGAGTAAGTTGAACTTGCTAATCTTTTTTTTTTTTTCCACATGACAACGAAGCTGACATTACATAAAGAAATAAATGTGATCAGGGAAGAGGCTATTGAGGTAAAAAAAAGATCAAAAAGCCCAGAGTCGGTGGATTACGCCTATAATCCTAGCTACTCAGGAGGCTGAGATCTGAGGATTGAGGTTCAAAGCCAGCCCAGGTAAGAAAGTCTGTGAGACTCATCTCCAATTAACCACCAGAAAACCATAAATGGCACTGTGGCTCAAAGTGGTAGAGTGCTAGCCTTTAGCAAAAGAGCTCAGAAAAAAAAAAAAAAGAGCTCAGGAACAACACCCAGGATGTGAGTTCAAGACTACAATTGACCCCCCCTACCCCATCCCCCAAAAAAGAGGAAAAAAGATCAAAAGTCTGAGATGGTCCATAAAGTTGAAGAGTGGGTGCTATGGTCTGAATATCCCCACAAAATCATGTGTTGAAAGTTAATCCCAATGTGTTAATATGAAGCAGATATGCAGGGAAGTGAATAAGCTTTAAAGGCACATCCTTTACATATAGCATCCTGATAAAAAAGGCTTCAAAGATAGAATACACACCTCTCTACTCTCAGGCCTTTCAGCCATGTGAGAACACAACATTCTTCAACCAGATACTGTCAGCAAAATTACTTTTTAAGATGAAGAAAAAATGGACCAGCCACTAACATCTATAATCCTAACTATTTTGGAGGCTAAAATATGGAGGATTGAGGTTCAAGACCAGTTAGGGAAGAAAAATTTAAAGACCCCTTTTCAGTACATAGTTAAGTAGTGGTTGAGACTGTCGTTCCAAAACTACATGGGAGGCTGATGTTAAATCTGCGATTCCAGACCAGCCTGGGCAGAAAAGTCTGTAAGAGAGAAGCTGTAAGCAGTAGAATGAGCCTTACCATTAACAATGGTAAATCTAAATTAGGTGGATCATAGTCTGGACATGCACCTAGGAGGGAAGCAAGATGCTATCCCAAAACAACCAGTGAAAAACAGGGCTACAGTGGAGCACCAGTGGCTCATTCTTGCAGGAATGAAGATGGGGGGAGAGGAGGGAGAGGAGGGAGAGGAGAGAGAAGAGGGAGAGGAGGGAGAGGAGAGAAGAGGAGGGGAGGAGAGGAGAGGGGAGGGGAGGGGAGGGGAGGAGAGGAGAGGAGAGGAGAGGAGAGGAGAGGAGAGGAGAGGAGAGGAGAGGAGAGGAGAGGAGAGGAGAGGAGAGGAGAGGAGAGGAGAGGAGAGGAGAGGGAGAGGAGAGGAGAGGAGAGGAGAGGAGAGGAGGAGAGGAGAGGGACAGGAGAGGAGAGGGACAGGAGAGAGGGGAGAGGGGAGAGAAAGGAGAGACAGGAGAGATGGGGAGGAAGCAAGGGAGGGAGGGAGAGGGAGAAAAGGAAAAAGAAGAGGGAGAGAGGGAGAGAGAAGGGGAGAGAGGGAGAGAGAGAGGGGGAGAGAGAGGAGCACAGAACTTCATGTATAGATATAGCATAGAAACGAAGAATGACACCACAACTTCAGTCATTTGCACATGTAATCAATGATTACCTCAACAATTATTTTCTTCTTTGTATTTCTAATTTTTCATTAATAGTATTACTCCTATAACCTACTTTAAAGGGACAAAAACAATGGAATGTTTTGGTTACATAATTCTTAATTTTTAAAGTATCTTCATGAAAAAAAATCTACCTTTTTCAATTCTTCCAAAATATAATTCTGAGAATATGAAAATGCTATTAAAAGTTAATGACTAATACATACAAAATTAGTCTCAAGACAGCTTTTTAAAGTGGATGAGGAAGACAAGAATTTTCAAATACACTGTGGCATATGAAATGACCTATGAAAGTCTGATTTTCCTACCTACTGCATTCCATATCTTCAGGCCAAGGAACACCAAACATCTCCATGAGCTTTGAGCACTCGCTGTAGGCCCGTTGACACAGCCTGCGGCAGGGAAGTGTGACGCGTCCATATTCCATACAAATAGGAGCATAGAGTGCACAAAGAAATGGCCGGAAATCCCGGGAGCAATCCAGATTCACCATGGGATGGAATGGCTAGGAAAAAGTTAAAATTGAGAAATTAGATAAAGATCTGTATACCAGTACTCATACTATTTAACATTTCCATTTTCTTTTTTGTAGTGCTAGGGATAATCAAGCACTTCAACTGTCTTTTTTTTTTCCATGTAGCAAACCTGAGGCCTTAAGTTCAAACCCTAGAACTTATACAATAAATAAAAATAAAAAGGAAAACTGAGGGGGGGGCAGATGGGAAGGGATGGGAAGGGGAAACAAAGGAGGAGGCAGGGGCTGGGAAGGTGGCTCAGTGGTAGAGCGCTTGTCTTGCATGCCTGAGGCCCTGGGTTCGATTCCTCAGCACCACATAAGCAAAAAGAAAAAAAAACTGAAAGTGGCGCTGTGGCACAAGCGCTAGAGCGCTAGCCTTGAGGGACAGCGCCCAGGCCCAGAGTTCAGGCCCCACGACTGGACCCAAAACAAACAAAAAAAAAAAAAAAGAAAGAAAAAAAAAGAAAAAAACCAAAGGAGGAGGCAACAGTGCTTGATAAGAAATGTACTCATTATCTTGGCCATGTAATTGTAACCTCTCTGTATGGTATTTTCACAATTAAAAAAAAGGAAAACCACCTCTGCAGGTTATTAAAAATTCCTTTTTCTTTTTTGTCGATCGTACTAGGGCTTGAAGTTGGCCTTGCACTTGCTAGGCAGGTGTTCCACCAAGTATGTCATGCCCCTGGTAGGTCATGTCCTTTTAATAGTTATTTTTTAGATAAGGTCTCATGTTTTCATTCACAGCTGCCCATAGACCATGCTTCCAATCTATAGTCTGCCACATAGCTGTGATTACAGGCATGTACCACCATGCCCGACTCGTTGAGATGAAATCTCAATTTTTCTCCAGGCTGGCCTCAAGTTGCAATCTCTACTTTCCAAATAGGTTAGTAAAAATTTCCAAAGAGGAGCTTTTTAAAAAAAAAAAAACAAAAAAACAAAAAAACATCCTCTCAGCTATAGCCCTGACTCAGATTCTGACTTGGTTAAGTATAAGGTATATCTCAGAGTCTCTCTGCATACTTTAAGTATTTCAGGTGATATTAATAGTCTGAGAACCACTAATAATAACATAGAATAATAATGTAACCCATTTTACGTAGAGAAAAAGCCACAATCCATAGGCACTAAAGCTCAAAAGGGTAATTTATTCATTGTTTTACTCATTGATGGTGGATCAAAAGGGTTTGATTTTCTTTATGTCCATTCCCACATTTTCTTCAATTCATGTACATCAAAAAGAGAGGACTAGCAGTGAAGGAGGGCAGGAGAGGGAGAAGGTAAGTAGTTACAGGTAACAGTTGTTCAGAGGGTTGGGTGAGAGAAAAGCCCTCACCTTTGGCTAAGTTTCTCGTTCTCTTTCACATTAAACAAACAAACAAACAAACTTGTAAACAGTGTTCTGAACTGAAATCAAATTACTAAGCACTGGTGGCTCACACCTGTAATCTTAGCTGCTCAGGAGGCTGAGATCTGAGAATCACATTTAAAAGTCAGAGTTCAAGACCCACTACTGGCCAAAAAAAATCTGAAACCAAATGCTATAAATACAACTTATACTGTAACTTAATATTAAGGCAATGAAAAAAGTAATCCTGAACATAAAACCGTGCTTAAATAACCATTATAATCACAGGAGTAGATCGAATATCCCAGAAATATGCATTTTTTGACTACTGAGTATTTTTCCCTTGCATTTGTATAGTAAGACTGCTGATTTTAAACTGGTTATAGATATTCTCACCACCTAGCCTTTCTGTGGATTAAGACTTAATTAACTTGTTTCTACACTGATGTATAATGAAATTCCTCCGCACAAGGACCAGGCAAGCAAGCTAATGGGAAGTCCGTATTCAGGCTTCAAACCCCACTATCGATCGGCAAAAACTATCTACAAAGGCTCATAGCAGCTTTATTTGTAAAAACAAAGAGCTAGAAACCACACAGATGTCCTTCTAGGGGAGAAAAGACTAAACAAATTATGGGTCATCTATAAAATGTTGCTCAGCAATAGAAATAAGTAACAACTTGGACAGAAAAAAGGCACATCTTAAAAGATTCCATACTGAATGAATACATGTTGGTATGGTGTGAATGTATTCTCCAAAATTCCTCTGTTGGAAATTTAATTGTCATTGTTACAGTATTAAGAAGTAGGAGCCCGCTAGTAGCTCAGGCCTGTAATCCCAGCTAGTTAGAAGGCTGAGATCTGAGGAGAGAGATTTGAAGCCAGCTGGGGCAGGAAAGTCCATGAGACTCTTATCTCCAATAAAGCACTCAAATAAGCCAGAAGTGGCACTATGGCTCAAGTGGTAGCATTAGCCTTGAACAAAAGCAGCTCAGAGTCATTGCCTAGGCCCAGAGTTTAAGTCCCAGGACTGCCCACTGCTTTTTTCCCCCATCCCCCCAAAAAAAGGAATAGTCAGGCACTGGTGGCTTACTTGTACAATCCTAGCTACTCAAGAGACTAAGATCTGTGGATCATAGCTGGAAGCCAGCCCAGGCAGGAAAGTCTATGAAACTCTTTATGTCCAAATCCAGAAGTAATTCCATGACTCAAGTGGTAGATGGCTTTGAGTAAAAGAAGGTCAGGGACAGTACTCAGGTCTTGAGATCAAGCTCCAGGTCTGGCCTGCATGTGTGCATGTGCACACACACCCACACACCACACACAAAGTAGGTCCTTTAAGAAGTAATTAAGCTCTGAGGTATCTGCCCTCCTGAATAAATACTGTTATTATACGAGAGAATTCGTATTGTGGAGTGGGTTCCTTATAAAAGGCCAAGTTTGGCTCCCTTTTCATGAGTGTGCGGGGTACATGATCTCTTTCTTATTATTCTTTGTTCTGAAGAAAGCAAGCCCTCACCAGATGCTAGTACCTTAATCTCAGACTTACTTCCATGGTCCTTCCAGGACCATGAAAAAATAAATCTGTCTTTAATACTCAGTCTGTGATAGCCTGTTATAGCAGCACAAGATGGCTTAAGACATTTGTACATAACATTCTTGAAATTACAAAATTATAAAGATGGAGAAAAGATTAGTACTTGTTTGCAGTTAGGATGGGAAAGACTAGTGAGAAAGCATATGAGAATTCCTTGGTCATAACAGAGTTTTTTTTTATCTTTACTATAGCAGTGGCCACAGAAATTTACACAAGTAATAAAATGATAACAGCAAGGCCTGTACACACACTCTCACACACATAACTACATACAGACAAATGAGTGCATATAAAATCTGGTGAAATATGGCAAGGTCTATAGACTGAATCAATGTTTACTATATTCTACAGTCATATAAAGTAGTAAGATTGGGGCAGGAAAGATTGAACACAGAACCTACATAAACTATTTTTGAAACTTTCTGTGAGCCCAAACTTACTTTAAAATTAAAAGTAGAATATGTACTAAATTCACATGCTGATATACGTACATCTATCATGTACACACATATATAACAAGTCTCAAACATGTTTGGTATTAAACAATAGGCAAAATACCAATCAGATAGCATTAATATGTTAGCCAAATCTCCAACTGGAAGCCCCATCATGAATTATAAAATTGATTTGAGTGCTGTGTACACTGAACCTAAAGATACAGAATAATACCTCTCTACTCACTAGCTCTAAGAAGCCTGGGCTACACTATACATGATCTCATTTCAGTCAAACAGCAATTCCATAATGTTACCAATTCCATTTTAATATACATGTGAAGAAAAATCAGACATAGAAAGCAAGCTAACTTGTTTGAAATAACATAGCTTCAAACTCCAGTAGGGCAAGGTGAAGAGGGACCCCTAGAAAATGTGACCCATAACAAGAGAAAGCAGGTGAGAGGCTGTGGGAGCAGGAGCAGAGAGGAAGATGGGCTGCAGAAGGGGGTGATGCAAGTGTTCTGGTGCCATAGAGCACAAAACCCATCAAAAGGAGCACTCTAAATGAGTGCAGCCTATAGTACAAACCTTACACCTCAACAAATATAGAAGCAAATGTTAACATTTTTCATAGTAAGCAAATATAGAAACAAACGCTAATACTTTTTGAAGTACACAGTTGCCTTGATTTAACATTAATAATTTTTTTTTTTTTTTTTTTTGTCGGTCGTGGGGCTTGAACTCTGGGCCTGGGCGTTGTCCCTCAGCTCTTCAGCTCAAGGCGAGCACTCTACCACTTAAGCTACAGCACCACTTCCGGTTTTCTGGTGGTTTATTGGAGATAGGAGTCTCACGGTCTCTCTTGCCCGGGCTGGCTTTGAACTGCGATCCTCAGATCTCAGCCTCCTGAGTAGCTAGGATTACAGGTGTGAGCCACCAGCGCCCGGCTAACATTAATAATTTTAACAAGAAAAATCAAAATTAAATGAGACAACGTGAATATTTAAAAAGTTGAGAGCAAATAACAACAGCTAGTTGGCAGTGACTCGCACCTGTAATCCAAGCTACTCAGGAGGCTGAGATCTGAGGATTGCAGTTTGAAGCCAGCCCAGCAGGAAAAGTCCTTTAGACTCTTACCTCCAATTAACCATCAGAAAACGGAAGTGGTGCTGTGGCTCAAAGTGGTACAGCACTAGCCTTCAGCACAAAGAGGCTCAGGGACAGCACCCAGGCCCTGAATTCAAGCCCCATGTCTGACAAAAAGAGAGAGAGAGAGAGAGAGAGAGAGAGAGAGAGTGTGTGAGAGAGAGAATATTAAAGTTCTGTGCAGCAGAAAGAGGGAAAGTCTTACTGATTGTTTCCATGAACAGAAATACTTTCATTCACTAAATCAAGACCTGAATATGGGAAGTTTGCAAACTGGAGTGTAACTTTTGAAAATTAAATTTCTAGTTTCTACAACAAAGATACACTACATGGAACCCTAGAGTCTTTGTCTAAATTCAAATCAACCAAGCTTTTGTGTTTCCATTCTTCTTTTGGATTTCCATTCCTGTTACCATAGGAACCTGCTAGCTGACAAGCCTTCAAGCAGAGCAACAGC